ATTTTTAGTGTGTTTTGTGCATCTTGAAGAGGAAGGAGAAGATTGAAGACTCGTCCTTTGGATAAGTGCTTAGAGATCCAGCTTTAGCATCTCCATTTCGTGGCTTTTGAGGTATAAAGTCCATAGTTTGTCAACTCATTTCATAGATATATTCATTGGCTTGTTTTTGGCTATTTGGTCCCTTTTGGTTGGTTCTTGTGAGCTAAGGTCGTTTATGGAGTTTAGCCTTTTAGATCTGGACATATTAAGGGGTCCTTAAGCATAAAGATGCAAACATTATGGTGTTTGTGGATTCATGCATGTGTTAAGTCGTTTGTTAAGCTCTTTTGAGCTCTAGAGACCCATTAAGCCATGCATGCACGTAAAGTTTCCAACTTTACGTGATAATTCATCTTTTGGGTCAAGATCTAAGAGTATGGGGTATGGGGAGTACATTGGGCGTACAAGCTGGTACGCTGTGCGTACAAGCCCTAGAGCATGTACGCTAAGCGTATGAGCTGAGTACGCCCATCATACTCAGCAGACGAGCTTCGGAAGTTTAGGCTTCTCGACTTTGGGCCATGTTTGGACTCTAGGTGATTAGGACCTTGTTGGGCTATCAGATCTATTTTGAGCTGATGCTCTTATATTGGGTTCACTTGGTTGAAGGCCCACGAAGGGACTTGGGCCAAATTTAGAAAATTGGGCCATATTTGGGCTTTAGGTGATTATTTTGGAATTTAGGCCTTTTGGACAGTTGGATTGGACCTTGGCCTATGGCCAAGTTGGGTAAAGGGTAAAAAGGTCTTTTACCCTAGTTTGGACTCTTAGTGTGAGTCGGGATCCAATTATTAATTGGATGTTATTTTGTGATTGATAGCATGGAGATTTTAGCGGGCCAGCAGCCAGAGATTTATCAGTGAGATTCAACAGTCTGAGGTGAGTTTTTTCACTGGTTTTAGCGGGTCGAAGGCACCAATGCCGACCCATGATTATTATGTTAGGATGCTAGATGTTTGCTTGAATCTTTCATGTGTTATGTGCTGGTATGTATACCTAGCGGAGCTCGATGTCGGGCGAGGCCCGGTGACTATATTGTATGTTGTTATCTTTGTGATTATTGCATGTGTTAGTATGACTATGTGTTTATATGCTTATATGTGTATCGGGTGGGGTCCGATGTGATTGACAGATCTATAAATTGAGCAGGCCTCGATGTCGGGCGGGGCCCGAGGCCAGGTGAGACTTGATGACTGGCTGGGCCCGATGAAGGGTGGGGGCCCAATATGTGTTTATTATGTATGGTATGGGGTATTTTGGGGAGCTCGCTAAGCTTTGTGCTTACGGTTTTCTATTTATGTTTCAGGTACTTCATGATCGAAAGGGAAGAGCATGGGATGATTACAGAGCACACACAACATTTTTCCGCATTTTGAGATTTAATCTGATATGATATGATGTAGTGACATACTTTGGTCTAATTGGGTTGTATGATAATGTTTTGAATTACCGTCTTATTTAAATTAAAAATGAAATTTTTGGGTCTTATTTTTTGGACGTTTCATCTCTATTCTCTTCTGCCAGTTTTCTACTTTTTCTCAAATGAACTTTTGCATTGTAGTTACTTAAAAGCTATTTAGTTAAACTAATCAATATTGTATATATCCAGGAAAGATCCCGAATATTGTTGAGTTTTTCTGATTTGGTTGAGCAAGACGTTGATAAAATAACATCTATTTAAGTTTGGGATAATGGGAAGTCATTTGAACAGGCTGCTGGAAATGAAAACAACTTAAACAGTAAAGATTGTTAAGAGCTTGCGGGATGTTGTATATGCTGGTTTTAGAGTAAAGATTGTTAAGGCAAGTGTTATGAACATGACGGTTAATTTTGAAAATAATTTGATAGAATTTAGGTTTTAGAGTAATTTTCCGCCCATGTCTTTTCTATAGGATGCTTTGAAGTACAGTGTATTGGATAGTTTGATAAAAACAGGTGCTAAAATAGATCTCAAACTTAGATTTAGGTTTTTTGTATTCATGCTCACTACCCAATAGTATACACTAGAGTTTGAGTTTATGAACTTCCTTTTTTGGTTAACGTAAACATCTCTGGTCGATTTTTTCCAAGAAGTATATATTGAGGGTAGTTTGGTCTTTGAATAACTATATATTTATAACAATTTAGAAATATACAAGTTGAAAAATATTAGGGAAATTACCAACAAGACTTTTCATTTTTGTATTTATAGATTTGCCCTCTATCTGTTTCTAAAGGTAGATGGATGTTTTGCAGGTTTTAAAAGGAAAGAGTGTTGGTGGAAGGTCTTTACTAGAAAGACGTCGAGGGGCTGGTGAACCACTATCTAAAGACTACAGGAAAAGTAAGTAAATTTGAATTTAGAAACTGAAAAAAATAGTTTTCATGCGGCTGATGTTACTTGGTTTGTTATGTATGTTTGTAGTTTTAATTTTGGATTTATGTTTTAATTAAATTGGGGATTTAATTCCAATTACAAATGAACACATCGACCCTATCTGGCGCCGAGTAAGTAATTAGTAACTACACTTCATGTCTATTTTGTTTTCTATATTTCCGGTTTCTAATTTTGGTTTATATTGATTTCGCTTTTTAAATCCCATGTTCATGATGTAGGTGTTTTATGTTCAATACGGTACCACAAGTAATAACTAAAAATCTTTTTTCTTTTGTTTATTGAGTGTGGAGTTTATCCAGTTGTGATTACTTAGGGTATACGATTTTAATTTTGATTTTGTAGTTCCAAGAGAAAAGAATAGATGCAGACATAAGGATCAGTGGCCTAAGAAAGAAACTCCTTTGAGACAATTATTATAACCAAAAGTCTCTTTTAAACAATTTTACTTGGAAAACATATCGGAAGCTTCATGAGTTGACAATGGATGATGTGAGATTGAGAATCATACAGTGAAATAGAAGGTCAGAGGGTAATGATTTGATCTGGTTATATAAAAGAGATTTGTTGCATCATCTGAAATCAATGATGAAAGGGGTTGTAGTTCCATTTGGAAAGTTTTTATACGAATAACAACAATTAAGTGTATTTTGTTAATTGACGAAGGTTCTACACAAAAGAAATTAAATCAAAATAATTAGAGGTTGAACTAGAGAATTTGAGATCTACAAATTATTAGTACGACAGGTGACAGACTGAAAAGCTAAGAGGATATGATGTGATGATGCAACATAAACGTGATATAACTTAATGAACTGTTTATAGACAAAGCTCTACTGTCTCTATAGTTTCCGACCGTCCACTCAGATTAGCGATGGAAATTGGATGCAAAAACATCCAATGTGGGAATAAAGAGAGTTTGTTTTCGGTGTATATTGGAGAAAGCTATACAATCTCTGACGAATGTATTCTCCAATTCGGGCAAGACATAAGGAGATGAACTTGGATAAAACCATTTTCATGTGAATTATGTAGTAGCCGGCATACCAAGGTAGTGAAGACCACATAAATAGGCTCTAAGGACCGATGTACATTTTGATTTTGCTGAGAGAGGTGGATATATAAAGTTATTATTTCTGTTTTAGTAAAACTGTTAGTATTAAGAAGAAAATTTTAATTAGGAGAAGTTCAAAAGCCTAAAACCTATGTTTGTGTGTGTGTGTTTCTATGAATATTCATTTTCTATAATCTTATCACACCATAAGATTGGTTATCAGTTAACATAGTGTTGTTAATTGTATGATTGTAAGTTGTCAAAACATGGTTATGTTACCTGTATAATTGTAAGTTACCATTTTATGCTAACATGTAGTATAATTTCTACTCTACATCTTTTACCAATATAGATACTATACTTAATTTAGTTACCCATAATAGCAATGCACTTCACTTTTTTGGTCCCATTTTATGTCGCAAGCATTGGCGTTTATGGTGGGTCCAAAAAGGTAACTTTTTACACACACACATTTTATCTATACATGATATATAGATATATGATTTGGTGTTGTATTTTTTTAGACATGTGGTCCACAAGATTTTGCGAAGAGAACCGGAAACATGGGATGGAAATACGTGAAAGTAGGTTGCTATAATACACTAAAAGCAAATGTAAGTTGTACCTACAACTGTTTTGGTTTCGTATAGAATGAGTTGTTATTGTTTTATTTTTATCAAACATTGATTGAATTCTTGAAAAAAAATGTTACTGGGCTAATGGAATCAATCGGGTTTCATTTTATTTTTATTTTATTGGTTTTTGGGGTTGATGTAGAAGATGATGTTGTGTTGTAGCGATGGAGTGTTATCGAATGTGTTTCTTATACAGCTGTGGGGACAGGTGGTTTTTATTTAATGGCATTTATGGGAAGGTTTTTATTTTTCTTTTAAGTGTAGGCTATGTAGTAGTTATGATTGCATACATTTACTATTGGTTGCCCTTATCTATAATTTTTATCGGTTTCGAAAGTGACCCGTGGTTCACTACGGGCTCACACACTAGTTGCATATTATGTTGTAACATGTGAACAATTTATCCTTTTTTTGTTTGAGTTTGTCTTATAATATTTTGTTTTGTCAATAAGTTCCAACAAATTTGAATATAAAACGTTGGTGTAGTCGTTCAAAAATTGACATAATTTACTAAAAGAGTCTTTTATTGTTAGTAATGTATGATTATTTTGTGGCATTATACATAATATATCTAACATGAAGTACCATATATTATATTTATGCACAATAATATAAGAATAGATAACTAGATAAAATGACATCAATTACTTCATCAAAATCTCATTCATATTTATTCGAGTAGCTTCTTTATTTTCCTTTTACTATCACATGACCTCTTTCTAATAAAATATGTCATCTAAATAATCTATCGCTAAATGTTTCAAAATCGACATTTTTTTTTGCCAAATATAAATTATGTTGGATTATGTAGTGATATCATACAAATTTATCTAGCATCAAATGCCATATATTATACACAAGAGTATACATGATGATATCAATTATTTCATCAAAGTACATTCCCTATATCTTTTAATTCCAATACCTTCCACATAGAATAAGATTTCGAATAAGTATCGTTAATTCGTTAAGTTTTATTCTTCTTACTTTTGTGCTTGCTTGGTATGAGCCCCTTGAGGATTGGATAACTAAACAATAGAGTTGTCCACGATAAGAAAATCTGTCCAAACATCTCGTCAAGATTACCATCACTTATTACTCTCTTCATGCCACCAACAAAGCATACAACATTCAACAGCACCATGAATGTTAATGGTATCATAAACATCTTCGCACCTTCAAAATCAAAAGTACCCTGCTCATATTTTTCAAGCTTCTCTTTATCGACCACTTTGTTTGTCAATCTAAAATTAGCTTTTGCAACACCAAGCGACTTCATCATCACATCAGCACAACCAAACAGCAAAGCACTTATGCATTTTATGAAAAATATCCTTTGTTCGTTCCACCATGTCACAACTGAGCCATCAGTTGATACCACTTCGTACAAATGTTGAAAAAGTGAGGATACATACACTGTCGCAAAAACTTTGAACCATGGATCCGAAGCCTGAAACACAACATAACAAGTCATTACAAAAGTAAAACATTAATGGAAGCCATGTTTGTTTGTTACACATGACATTACATAATATATCAACCTTCTATTGTGTTTGAAATACGATAATTAGTTAACTAGAATGAACTAGGAATGATGTAAATGAGATAAGAAGTGCAATTTTTTGTCTCATCCAAAAAGTAGGGACATGGACTCGCTCATAATTTTTATTTTTGTAAAGGCTTAAATGCTCTCATCATCATCAAAAATAGCCCTATAGTCTAGTATCTTATGTCCCATAGAAAATGGGACATGTTCTATTAAAAATTTGTAAGCATCCCTATCATCATTGTAGGGTTTTATGATCATTCCTACAAAGCTTGCCTAGTCCTTCTAGTTTAGGCTAGTCTAGTCGGATCTTGTTCCATCCTATCATGTCATGTATAACAAATGACAACATTATGTAACTGGAATTTTGATAGATTTTTACCATGGGATACAATGAGACGCCATTAAGAAGGCACAATGGTGATATGGTGCCATAAATCAGAAATGCTATTGACAAAAACGGAGAGTACATGAAGTAGGCGTAACACATGCTTTGAAGGAATGACATTCTGGTGGCTCCATAGATGAGAGGATTGAAGCTGGAAAGACCAACTTGAAGCAATCCAGATGACCATTTCATGAGCTGAACCATGGCATCTTTCATGTCTATGGTGGTGCAACCTAAGAAACATGGTCTGTTCGGATATAAATACACAGATTTCCATCCTTTGGTATGTAGCAAATACCCTGTGAAACTGCTCTCAAGTAATGAATTGTAGGAGTAACCAATCTGTTTACCCCATTTTGTGTTATCTTCATAGGAACAAGAAGCAAGCTTTGTGGCCTCTGCTACAATGACGGCAGTAAATAAGTCTGTTTGTGTGTCCTCGTTGATTGCTTTTAATGAATCGATGAATTTGGTAGACTCTCCATAGCTTTCTTGTGGATACAGATGATGTTCATCTATAAAAATTTAAATTAAATTACAGATTCGTCTATTTAATTTTCCAATATCATATAACGCTCATGCCATGATAGGTTCAATTCTTATTATTATGGGTGTTGATAGTCGGATATCCAAAATTTTGGATAGTTGACTATTGGTATCCGATTTTGTATTCGAAATTTCGGATACAGATTCGGATACCAAAATCGGATATCCAAAAATTTAAAATTTTGTTCAAATTGGAAAGACATATGAAGTTTTTAATTAAAAAGACATATTTTTATATTAGAAAGACATATGAAGTAATATAAGTATTTAATTAAAGGTATTATGAATATGTTTTAGTTACTAACATTCATGTCATAAGACATATGCGATTAAAATAACAAATAATGTATAAACTAAAGTCAAAATTTTCGGATATCGGATATCCAAATTATCCAAAAAATCAGAAAAACACTATCCAATTTCGATTCTGAAAGATCGGATATCCGAAATTTCGGATTTCTGAAAATTCGGATATCCGATTTTTCAAATAATTCGGATTCAGAATTTCGGATATGGATATTTTTGAACATCCCTACTTATTATTAAGCGTCCCGGTCCGGCCAACAGAAAGCTTATTTTAACATTATCTTTTATATGTTAGTAAATAGTAAAACACAAATTCGATTTTCATTATGCATTTGTAGTGTTGTTTCATGTTAGGTGTTATTCTTTTACAATTTGATTCTTCAGGTTAATTTGAATGATATAAATTTTTAATATATTAAAGTAAACAATGACATTTGAAATGTAACCAACTATAATTTTTATGTTTTAAACTTATTTAGAATTATAATATTTCTTAATATATAATTTGAGACATAGTAACATATGTAAATAAACAAGACCAATTGACATATATATTGCAATGCTGGTATTTACATAATACACAAGTGTAATATTCGTTTTAAGTCTGTGTTATGAATACAATTTCTTTAATTTAATAAAATGTTTGTTTTAAATTTGAAAATTAATTTAAAACTTAATTATATCGGGATAATTAATTTTGGTTATATTATTCTAATAGTATAATTCATAAGATTGTTGTCAAGTACAATTGTTGATTTGAACAAAGGTAAAATCATAAACGTTATCAATCTCCTGGTTATCAATATCTCAGAATATCAGTGATTTGGAGGTATCGAAATGACATTGTTTTTTTTTTTTTAATAATTTTAAGAGCATGTATCGTCTCATTTGTGAGGTGCAATTTTTAGCTCTCTTTTGGTTAAAAAATGGACGAGAAAAATAGTTTATGACTTTACGTTGGTCTATGTGTTGTAATGGTCCTATACATGTTTGTCTAAACCGTTTGTAACTATAGTATCTCATTAGCTTTTACTTTTATAGAATTTTCTTGTTTGTTTTTCAATAATAATAATAATATATGGAATTTGTTAAAAAACATATATCATCAAAAATATATACAAGTTAGAAAAAAATTGAATATTTTCTTTTTCTATAATAAATATAAAGTAAATGTCATCTATATTCAGCATTGTAGAAATAAAAATGTAACTTGTCTAATACTAAATATATTTCATAATATTTGTATGATTATGTCTAATGTCTAAACGTCAGGATCCTATAATTTGTAGTTACTTTTAATTAACTCGTAAATAATGTTTAATTAGATTTTTAAATGAAAAAGAAAATTACAATTAACAATATCTAATCTACTCTAATAAATGAAGATTTTTTTTTGTCATTTGTCACACTCTCATTCAATTTGTTAAATGTCATTTTATGGTTATTTTGAATTAATTTTTTTTCACATGTCATTTGATGAGTTTTTCTATTTTATTAAATTCAAAATAATATTTTAATATACTAATTGTAATAAATGTATAATAAATAGATATCAACTTCATTAATGAAATTACATTTTAATTTCAAAATTCCAAAATTAAAGCTTATTAGTTTCTTTTGTTTATTTATTTAAATTATTTGTTTAAATTTAAAAGATAAAAAACATTTCAATTATAATAATTCATTATTTTTCTTATTTTCTTATAAATTCAAAGTTCTCAAATATTTTGACATTCATATTTAACCTTTTTTTCTTAAATTAACTCATATATTACATAGATCTCACAACTAGTATTTGTATCATTTTTGAACGAATTAATGAGATCATTTTAACGTTATTCTTCAAATATAAAATAACTTAAAGATATAATTAGAACTTAGAACTTAGAACTTTTAACTCTTAACTAACTAGGATCAAGGGGAGTGAATGAAAATTGAGACAATTTTGTGTGAATGGATTGGGCCCATGCCATGATTTTAAAGTGGGTTAAAATTCTTGATGATATCCATGATTTATACAACTTTTTGAAACTGAATATGTGTATAATGATTGCTCTAAAGTCTAAACTCTAAAATTACCTTCTTTATTCGGAGAACCATACAACGCTTTCTTCTTCAAGTAGTAACCTGTTCCTGAACAAATTGTGCCTCCAATGCCATCCATTCCTTGATATTTCGTCTAAAACATCAAAATCCTATCAATCAATCACCCGGCTACAAACTAAGTTGTACATCTAACATGCAAATATGAATGCTTTGCATGAAAAAATCAAAGAAAAATAAACGAACACAAAGTGAATCACCTTGTATGCGGATCTTGCTTGTCCATCGTATATATCTTTTTGGCTAACATTATAGAAAATTTGTGGGTATTGGACAAAAGCAAGCGAACTAGACAGCTTAGAATCAAGATGGAAACACATTGCTTGTTTTGCAGATGTTGGTTCATTGCAATACATGTCACAATCTAACACGAGCATATATGGAGCATTGCTCAATAGCCCTGAAACACGAAGCTGCAAAAAAAAAAAACGTATATGATCAAATGAGACATTGGATTATTATGTGACTATTAACATAAAAGAACCTTGATTGAAGTTCATCAACGTACAAGTGTGTTTAGAGCTCCTGCTTTGAAACGATGAGGAAGAGATGGTCTTCTTTCCCGAGATACGTATACAAGAAGAGGCATTTGAATTTGGTTTTCCTTTCGGTTGTCATTTATTATCTGAAGTTGATATAAAGTGAAACACAAGCGCTATAAATTTCAACTTCTTATAAGAAAAGTAGAGAATTTTTGCCAATATATTTTTAAGGTAAACTTTTCGATGTAATTTATAAAGTTGAGTGTTTGACATCTTGTAAGCTTGTAAGCAGAAGGTAGGTGTATCTACTTCATTTCTAAAGATGACATGTCGGCTATTATAACATGTATATTTCACCTGTCGTTTTGACACATAAAGTGAAAGGTAGCAATCAAGAATCAATATTGTTTCAACTAATATTATGTTTTATACTTTGCATAGAGGTATCTCAAAGTTTGTTTCAACTAATAAAGACAATTCCAAAAAAAAAAAAAAAAAAAAAAAAGCCACTACATAGCAGTCTATCTTTAATTTTTTGTTTAACTATCCAAAGATTTTAATTTTCTTTAACTATTAAGAGTTTGGTTTCTCTAAAAAACCAGTAATGAATTGCAAAAAACGGTCGGAATAAATTTTTCTGCTAAATTTTGTTAAATCAAAAAACAAACCTTGGGATGGTTGAATAGAAAACATTTGAAATTGTAGTGGTTTTTGTAAAATTTAAAGTTTAATGATATCTTCATAAAAATCAAACTATCATTGGTTAGATCTTAAATAAATTTCTTCGGGTTTAACAATCGAAAAGAATTCCAACCTAAATTATTGGATTTTGGCCTTGATTGAACATTCAACTTTCAAATAAGTCAATTGTTGTCCAATTTTGTATTTTCTTTGTTCCATTGTTGTGAAAATTTAAAAGAAAAATTGATATAACGTTTATATGGGCATTATTAAAATAATTTATTAAATACTAATTAAGTTTCAAATTTCAGTTGTGTTCTAATATTGTGAAAATGTTAAAACATAAAGGAAACCTTTTTTTGTAACCAAGTCTCACAATTTTCCGTCGTTATGAAATAGTTTATTGCTTATCTTTGATCTTAATCATTTCACAAGAATAATCTTTTTAATTTAGACGACGTCTCTTTCTCGTACTATCTTGCAAAGAGGAGGTTAAGTAGTTTGCAAAAATAAAATTAAGAAATCAAGTATAGATAGGGGTTCAAAGAAGCCTAGGAAATCTTTGAAATTTATTGTTGAAATGAATCCAAAAACCATACCGCAATATGTGGAGGTCGATCATTAACAGCAGAAGCACCACTGGTCTTTCGCTCTACGTTTTCTTTGAATTGTTCGTACGCTAACTGCATATATGGAGTTTGTAAACTTAGTATCATCACATAACTTTATTTATTTATTCATTTTGAGATAGGTTAGTATAAAATGAAGCCTGTGAGATTCCATCATGATCTAACTCTATTTGTACAGGTTGATCACCAACATTAGGCACAATACATTTGTTATGGTAGCACATAACATTAACTGGTTGCTAAAAGATTGTTCAACATTAATTTACAACAGCAAAGAGTAGCTGCTAAATGATTTTATTATATAAAAAAGAAGCAAATTATCTAAATGAATATTTTTATAATCTCGAGATGAATAAAACAGCAAACTTTGAACACATCAAACTTTACGATTGTGACATAAAGTTATTATTTTTGTACGTTTGTATTATGAGAAGTAGAAAAGTAAATAATTATTTTATTTTTAGGATATTAATTTACCTTCATGTTCTGTTCATCTTCTTCAAACTCCTGACTTCTAAAAAGCAATTCGTCATGTCCATAGCTAGAAAAGAACCACTCTGGACACCTACTCTTGACCCCATACTTCCTACAAAACGGCAACCACTCCTTTGCAAAAGAACATGCTTCTTTCATCGCATAAACCGTCGACGGAGCACCACCGTCGTCGGACAAATACACCGCCAGTTTGTCCGACGGGTAATCAAGTCCCATGGCGGACAACACCGTGTTCATGACCTCCACCGTCGGCTCCTTACTGGGGTCCGCCGTGCATATGAAGACGTCAACTTTCGGCAACTGGTCGTCATCAGGGAGGTTATGAAGGGCGACGGTTCGAGCCACCGGACGCCACCGGAAGGCTTGAGTTAAGAACCAAATGAAGGAGAAGATAAACTCGGAAACCGTCATGAGAACCCATGGCAGGGTTGGTACGTCGCCGTGGATTAAGTTTGTGAGCCTGTAGTATAAGATGGCGACGGTGGCCGTGAAGTGGAGGAGCATGTGAAGTCTTTGGGCGGCGGCTCGCGGTTGTTGAACGGAGCAGGAGTTAAGAGACATGGTGGCAGCTGCCATTTCTTGGTTAATTTGTGTTCCTTTGAGGTTAATTACTACCTTTTTCTTCTTAAATATTGATTGTATATCAAGTGCTTAAACTCCAAATCTTAATTCTATATTTTGTCACCACTTCTAATCCTTATTTTTGTAATATTATGGCAAGATATCGAATATATTAATTATGAACCGATAATCATGATTAATTATTTAAAAACATATGGAGCTTTATAAAATAAAATAAAAATATTGCTTAGTATATAAATTACCATTTTTGGGGTTTGGCTTCCTTCCAAAAACTTCAATTGTTATGCACGCCCTTCCCTCACGATACTTTGATATATGAATGACAAAGAATTTAGTATACATTAATGTTAATTACCTTAATTAACCACCTTAATTTATTAGACGGCTGAAAGATACCCTATATATATATTGTAATTGTGTATATCAGCCTCTTTTATACTATTGTTCTTTTTCACATAGATATATAGAATACATTTATCAACTTGACTATGTTGTTTGGAATCATGTTTCATTTTTATGTTTTCTTTTATTGTTGTTTTCCACATCAAAAGCTACACCTTGCAATTATGATAAACCACGTGGAGGTCAACGTTTACCAAATTGTGATGACAATGGGTGCTGCGGTTTTGGACCCCAACCCAACCCAACCCATAAATGGTCGGTTTCTGGTTTTCAGAACCCAATAGGATCGGTTTCTGGTTGGTTCGGTTTCTCGGGTTCTATTATCGGTTTGGGCGGTTTCTCGGTTTCTTGGGTTCAACGCATACACTTATGGGTTCTGGGTTTAAACCCATAGGTTTTGGGTTTAAACCCATTTTCCAGAAATGGAGCAATAAGTTAAATAATTCAAAAAGCACCAAATTGAAGTTAAATACTTCAAAAAACATGAGTTTTACAACCAAATTGTCTATTACAAATTACAAACAAAGTCCGAAATAGTTTATTACAACCAAAACACAATCAAAGTAAAACACGAAGTCCGGAATTGTCGATTAGACGATTACAACCAAACACACAATCAAACTAAAACACAAATTCCGGAATTGTCGATTAGACGATTACAACCAAACACACAATCAAACTAAAACACAAAGTCCGGAATAGTCAAATAGTCGATTACAACCAAAACATGCAAACATGAATCTTCAATCCACATCCATGTAAATCTCTTCACCAATTCCCAATTCATCTACAAACCAAAAAACATTAGTATTGATCAATGATTATTGAGAAATAAACTTTTGTAAAAGTATAAAATTATAATTATTAAGTTATAAACCTTTAAAATTCAAGTAAAATCCTCGTCCATGCAACTCCCTTGACCACACCCCAATTCCTCTACAAACACAAAACAATAGTATGTAATTATAAACATATATAATTACAAACTTATAATCATGTAAAAAATAGTAAAATATTTACCGGTTTCTATTGGCACCAACTTCTCTCACGTCTCTGCCATGTATAAAGTCGTCATATTTTTAAACTGGATATCAATTGGGGTGTCCCATATCCAATCTTGTGCGTAAATCAAAGCTTCGGCAGTCACATGTATAAGGGAGCTTCTACTTTCATCAATCATCCTCCCGCCAGTATTGAATGTCGACTCTGATGCAACTGTAGAGATTGGCATTCCAAAAACAAGTTTCGCCACTTCAGAAAGTACAGGAAACTTTGTTGAATTAGATTTCCACCACCCCAAAATCTGGAAATCCTCCGCCCGCTTTTCCATCCCATCTGATAAAGAAATCTCAAGCTCTGTTTTATTAACCCCATCTTCAACTAAATCCTTCATCTTCAACTATACTAAAAGGTTGATTGTCTTTAATACACATGCGGGCTAAGGAATTTCTACATTTCTCTTGGCCGAAGGAATGAACTTCCAAAGAAGTATCACCGGAGTCTCCCACTTTTTTGAAACTCAACACAGATTGTTTTTTCGTATCACCAACTTTACATTTAGGGTCGTAAACAGGAGATTTTGGACAATAGAGTCTTAAATGACTTCCCATTGCACTCGTACCATTTTTCTTTGAATTTGCACACATCATTGTTGGACAATATGGCCATTTCACTTTCTTAGCACCCTTCTTTACGGCCTCTCGATCAAAATGTTGCAATACCCAAGATACTCTATGACCACCACCCTTATTATATGCAACTTCTTCATCATCTCCTTCATCAATGGTGGTTGTTAAGGCCAACAAAATTAATAACCCTAAATATTACACACCAAAATAGTGTACAGTGGTAAAGGGTCGAATCCACGAAGATTGGTTCAATTTATAACTCTATGAAAAATCTCTTTGTACAAATACTTGTAAAATGACAATAAATTAAAAATGGGGGGTTTGGTCTTTTGAAATACTTGAAATAAACTAGAATTAAACTAAAATTTAAATAAACAATTTCAACAAAAATAAGAGTTTGATGTAAAATCAATAAGAGAAAGATGGTTGACTTAAGGTTTCCTCACTTTGACTTTTGATGAACATATTATTAGAATCCAATGGTGCAATACTTGATTTAAACCCTTAATTTGGCTATAGTAATCCAAGGAGCTTGAGATTACCTAGACTTTTCTTAATTGTTGAAATGGTTAGAGAAGCTCATAACAATTTCCTTAATTAAGTCACTAATTCCATTAAGCATGTAATTAGTGAAAGATAACTAGCATTAAGAACCAAAAAGTCACCAAATCCAAGAGGAGTCAAAAGCTTCCACTACCATGTTGGAGAAAATGTTTTTATGATTGTGTGAAGTAAAACTAACACAAGAATCACTTGTTGCTTGCTAATTTGAAGATCCTTTACTTAATCAAGAAATTAGCCAACTAATCACCACAAACACATTTAAACTCATGAATAAAAACATGCAAGTAATGATAAGATGTTAAAACACAAAACATTTTCATAAAGATTCAAACACAAATTCATGGATTCTTCAATATTCAACAAAAGTTCAAAGGATTCAACAATAGTCAACCAAGATTTGTTTACCCAAGCATGGCTAAACTCAAGAAAACAAAGTTAGTGAAGATTGTACCAAACATTTAGCAAAAATTAAGAGATGAAATGGTGAAGTTCTTGAGGGTTCTTGGCCTTCAAAATTGCTCCAAACTCCAGAGAGAAAGTGTCAAAATCGGACATCCAAGATAAGGCTGAAGAGGCACACCAACCTTCCCAATATAGAGCTCTAGACAAAATCCTGAATTTGTCCTTGTCAGGATTCCACGCGGGCCGCGAGGAATCTTACGCGGGCCGCGTGACTATGACGGAGTTTTTGGGCTTCTTCAAGTTTTGGGCCCCCATAGCTATTCCATTGGCCCAGTTCGAGTCCGATCAGCTTCTAGCCCATTTTTCTTCAAGTTCTCTTCAATTTGAGCCCAATTTGACTTTTCCAAATCCTTCAAAGCTCTTGTAATCGCCCGATCATCAGCCTCCGCACACTCGAAAATTCTCCCGCGCCTTGCAAATTTAAAGTTCAAATCTTCCAAGCCTTCAAGCAATTGACAAGCCCACTCCATGAATCACCTCCATAGCCATCAAGCATGAAATCCCCATTTCCCTTCAAGCCCAATCGCTTTCCAAAAGATCCTGCTCCGCTAGTCTCCTTAAAATCTGCATTTATACTCACGAAACTAGAAAGTACCCGAAAGCGGTCATAAAATAAAAAAAAAAGGAAAATATGCATGGAAATTAATTAAAATGCGAATGAAATATGCTAAAATAAACTATAAAAAGAAGTAAATAAAATGGAGCTATCAAATCACCCCAAGCTTAAACCTTACTTGTCCTCAAGTAAGACAAGACTAAAATGAACTCGGGATGAACTATCCTAGGGAAAATAAAAAGAATGGATAGAACCGCGGAACCTGATCACCGTTAGTCAACATGGTCAGAATTGATCTTGCTATTACCTCACGAATTTTTTCATCCGATGACAATGGGACCCTAAACTACAGCCAGGACAACTCCTTTAGGTGAGTAAGGAGGGATGAGCAGTCGCAGCCCAATGGAACATGCATACAATGAAGAACATCTGTAGCAGGGAGAAAGCAGTTGGATGGGCTCGTGTGGAGCTCTTCTTTTAAGTGTACACTCTGATCTCACGTCTTCCGGCTACTCTCATGTGTAATTGGGTTTAATCGTTCGGGCACCGTTGTAGGAATCGGTTCACTTAGTGTTGGCCCAAACCTCCCGTAGTATCCGACTCAACAGTCTCTCTAACATCACCAATTTGCGAAAAGAAACAACTCGATCTATATACAATAAGACAACTCTATATAAATGAATATCAAACGCCAGGTGACCAAAATGTAGGAAAATTTGTTCAATAATTGAACCGGTCACCTATCTACGATTATTGCAGCTTGAAATTTTTTTTTTTTTGTTTTTTTGTTTTTGTTTTTGTTTTTTTTTTTGTTAAACACATACTAGTAAACTTGAAGGTAATTCACTAACATATTGAATTTTTGTTTTTTTTTTTGTCAAGAAAACTTTTTGACTCAAAATTTGGTTCCCAAGAGTATGTAAGTGGAACCGAAAGGGTAGTAATATAATCCGAATGGTCTAAGTGTGAAAATGACCATGTGTGGAGCATAAAGATGTAATGTAAGCTCCTTTTCAAACTTGCAATTTTTCAAAAATAATGAAAATGTCCATATGCGGACTAAAAGACTCTCTAAAATCTTAAGAAAATCGCAAAAAAAATGGTGATGTAAAGAGACCGGATATGGATTCTACTCGGGGACAAGCACCAGTGCTTCATCCTAACGGTTCAAACATGATCAAGTGTGATCCTCTCGGCGGCATGGACCGCAGGGCTAAGAACATCCATTGCTATAGTGTATCCTACAGTTGTTAGTATTGCATGCATAATTCTTCATGAAAACTACCTGGCCATGATCACTTACCCCTTTAAGCTTCCAGCATCTGATCCCAAGTATGAAGTCCCAAACTGCAGCTGGTGGTCCCGGTTCGATGGGTTAGATAGCAACAAGATCCTGGACCAATAATGATACAATAACTATGAACCTGTTCCATGGCATCCAAGGGGGTGAGAATAAACAGATAACAAAAATGCATGAATGCTAATGCCCTAAGCTAAATGTTATGCAAAAATAGAAAGTAGAAAAGAAGAAAATAAAATCTTTTTGGA